CATAGGTACGGGAAAGCGCAGGCGTTACCCGGGAAATCTTCCATAGCCTCTTGTCCCTTACTGTGTTAAAGAACACTAGTGTTTCGTAATATGCCTACCTAGGACGTATGCTTCACCCAACATACGGAGATCTTGCAGATCGGACCCCTCAGTTTTGGAAGTTCCCAGAAAGTGGTTCTTGTCAGGCTTATTTGGTGGTTTCCCAAAATTATTTGTATTTTTGGGGGTCCCCACAATAAGGATTATAGTATTTGGGGAAGTCTATATCGGGGTCCCCTTATTATTGCGGGAAACTACCATTTGTACGTTATTGCAGCAGTCCGTCCAGCTATCATCTCACTCGGAAAGCCCTTGAACCCATGCAAAATGCCTCAAGCTGCATTTTAGGAGGACATTGACCACCCTGACCCAGAAAAGTAGGAACCTCAAACGTTTACTCAGGTGCGAAGAGAGGAGGCCACAACATACTTCATCTTCCGACGGGAGAGACACTCGCTGAGAAACTCAGTGCGCCTAATATCCTTAGTCTTGAATTTGGAGTTCGCAGGATTTGGGATTTAGGGTTTAGGGGCCATGGTTTGGGGTTTAGGATTTAGAGTTTAAGGATTGACCCTAAAACCTAAAAGAGGGCTTAGAAGTTGACAGGGGACTTAAGTCTGATCGGCGTTACCATTGACTTGTATGGTGGAGCCTTTAGCGGAGTATAGCCCCCCTTAAGTAGATAAAATATGGGGTATATGGGGATATCTTTATAGTTTACCCAATGCCATCTATCTACTTAAGGGGGACTATATGTGCAGCCTTGGCTCGCCTTACGCTTGCCATAGTAGATTAAGACAGGCATAGGATGGTCATGGACTGGTGGGGAAGGATACCTCTATAGGATTCAGTTTCCTTCCCCTGCACTATAATAAACATCCAGCGTACGCCTTGTTGGAAATGGGGCTTAGGTGGAAAGCCGGTTGCTTGTAAATCTTGGACCTGAAGCTCTTTTGGACTCTTTGGGCATTCCTCCGAGGTATGTTTTATTACCATTGTGCCTAGAGGGTTTTTTGGGTTTTTAAATGTAACCGCAGATACCTGCAGTTGATAAGCAATTTCTCACGCACTAGTAGGTATAAACCTAATCTATAGGTACTTGGGGTTGCGGTGCCCGTATGTTTGGTGGGTTGACTGAACCACAAACCCACAACCTTAAACCCTAAACTAAACGACTGTCGGTTGGATGGGCTCAGGCACAGAGAAGGCACCGATCCTGCTCCGGAATCTAAGCTCCGATGCTTGGCCAAGCATGAGCTTGTACCCAAATAATATGGCTTAGGGGTTTAGGGATTTAGGGTTTAGGGATTTGGGGCTTAGGGTTTAGGGCTTTAGGCTTTAGGGAATTGTAGGGTTTGGGGATTTAGGGTCCAAGGACCCAAATAATAGGATTTTAGCGCCCAAGCACCATAATATTAATGGTATTTGGGACCTAAAGCCCTGTTATTTGGGTCCTTGGCCCCTTACGACCCTACGGATATAGCGATCACAAGAGGGTCATTGGGTTCTTATGAGGGATTATATAGGGAATGTTTGGAGCAACTCCGACATGCCTAGCCCGCAGGTGTTACGGCAGAGGCAAGTGTATTTGGATTACGGTGTCATTGTTGGAAACCGTTTGCAAGTCTTGTTGTCTTGAAGCCCCATAAAGAACATGTGGTCATAAGCTTTCACTTCATGTGCTTCAAGAAGCAGCAGACTTATCAGGATGTTTATCGAAATCGCCCATGCATGCAGAATCTGAAATAAGATCTAATCAGGACCCCTATCATCCTCTAATTCTAGTACCCCCTTAGTAAGCCCCATAATAGTCCCCTATATAAGCCCCTATTAAACCCCCCTTTTTGGTTGGAGTTTCGGCTACAGTTTGGGATGAAGGCGTGAAACCCTCTTAGCTGAGGCTCTTCGGTTTGGATCTTGGGCCTAAACCCTAAAACCTAATAACCCTAACCCCTAGGCCTTTGGCAAGGCATGCCAGCAGTCTGCGCTGTAGGGAACTTCAGTTTCCAGAATATGGAAGCCCTATCATTCATTTACCATTTACCCATTTTATGGTAGCTACGCAGAAGTCCAGTGCCATCGGTGCTCAGGTTGGAGATGTGGGGCCCCCACTGCCGTTGTCTCTAACCTCCTTTGGAGACACGGTAGGGCCGTCAAATGCAACCCTAAAGCCTAAACGGTGCTCGTTGGACCTGAAAAGTTTGGGGCTTGTTTGTCTGGGCCCAGACTGTGAGTATGCAAAGTCCTGTGCGCGCAGACGGACATGTTGTTGATTCTGTGAGCTATGCCTTTGAGGACTCTAGATCCTACAGAGCATTGGGATAGGAGCACTGTTCTGCTGGACTCAAGAGAAGTCTCCAACTGCATGGTCTTTACCCGTGGCTCGGGAACAGAAGACATTTTTTAGGACCCGTGTATCTGGGATACCCCAAAAAAGAGCTAAATGTTGACACCCCGCCCCCCTCTTGTCAATGCCTCACACTGCTTCCTTACGGGATGCCCCTGAAACAACCCTAAGCCCTTAACCTCACGAACCCTAAACCCTAATCACTAGACCCTATAAACCCTAAACCCCATAAACCCTAAACCTCATAAATCCTACCCCCTATACTTTATACACCCTAAACCCCAAACCTCATAAACGCTAAAACGCTAGACTCCACAACCTCATAAATCATAAGCCCTATACTTCATACACCCTAAACCCAACACCTCATAAACACCCAAACGCTATTCCTAAACCTCATAAATCCTAAGCCCTATACTTCCTACACCCTAAACCCAAAACATCATAAGCCCTAAACCCTATATCCCTTACTGGGCTCGGCTCTGCTGTTTGGCTCAGTGGACCCCGTGCTTTTGTTCTTGTCCAGACCGCCATCAAGAGAAGCAATGAAGGGCTCGATTCCTCTCCTGGGCACCTGGGTTTAGGGCTTGGGGTTTGAGATTTGGGATTGGGGGTTTAGGGTTTGATTTTCTAATGACCTGGGTACCTTTTATTCAGATCCCCCATGCACAGAACCTGCGGTTCTTCGCAAGTGCTATAGGTGTCTCTGACCCCTGTGACGCTTCAAGTGGGCATTTGTCCAAAAAGTATTAAACTTAAGTTGACGTTTCATCACATACGCCCCAATAGGGCCGTTCTTAACGGCTCTTCTGATAGGAGCAACCCACAAGTGGCGCATATCTTCTCGCAAAGCGAATCCCAATGTAAAGCCGCTTGTAATTCTGGACCCTTAGGTTATCCTCGTATATCCCTTATAACTTATAAGTATGCCCTAATCTTCAACCCTGCGTACTACCGAAACCTTAAACCTTCATCGCAGTGGTCTAGGTACAGCCTGCAAGGCAGTGAAGATGTACTGGAGCACCTGGAAGGTGGCAATCAGCTACTTGTGCCTGGGACTGGTGTAATGAGCAATCCAATGGAAAGGCAAAGAAACAATGGCATGGAAATTGGGTTTATAGTATACATATATGTGTGTGTTTTACAGGGGCTTCTATGAGGATGATGTGAAGTAAGGGCCTAAATAGTAAATTGCCACATGTATGGTCCCAGATTATTTGTATAGTGATGGTATAGGGTAGTTCTAGCCGATTTCAAAACTATGTTGACACTCCAAACTCCGTACAGGTTTAGGGTGTAGGGTGTACTCTGCTCAAGTGTCCAGAGTAATGAATATGCTCGCAAAATGGCTTTGCACCTGGCATTCTGGCTACAGCGCGCTGCCCATAACAGCAGTTCGCCTCCTGAAAACTCCCTTAAAGTTTGTTTTGTTACCTCTCCACAAGGGTAGGTTTGAAAAGGGCGTGCGAAGACTTTGAGCTTAGAGGGCTGAGGATGAAGAAGGCCTTGTCTGGATCAATGTTAGGGATCCTTTAGATCCTTTTAAAGTGGGTTATAAGGATTACATAGAGATAGATTTGTTGTTGATATTTTAAGGATTCTTATAGGGATCCTTTTGGGGTATGGGATTCCTTCTACTTATGTAAATAGGATCTTTTTCTCTCCCTAGAGTAATGTGGGATAAGTTGTAGGCCCCACCCAAACTTCCCAGGACCTGTCTGATCACCCAGCTCCCCAAGCGGTCCTGAGCGATTGAGGGTTCAGGGCGTAGGATGTAGGGTTTAAGATTTAGGGATTAGGGTTTAGGAATGAGGTCTAGGATTCACGGTTTTGCATTTAAGGTTTAGGAATTAGGGTTCAGGGTTTAGGGGCTTAGGGGTAGTGGGAGAGTAGTCCCTATCATGGTTCATATTCAACCACAGATGATAATGGTATTTTATTTGCTCCATTCTCCCCCTTCAAGCACCAGTACCTAAACGTTCGAAGGCCCGTCCCGCCCAGGGTTTATTGAAGGGGTGTAGGAATTGCGCAGGGCCGTTATCCAGCATTGTGTTGGCGTTGGGGTTGCATTGAGAAACTTCCACCAACCACTCCTGCTGACCTTCTGGATAGTAATAGTTACAGTAATAGTACAATTGTAATAGTAATAGTAGTAGTAATGGATTCCTGCTCGCCTCTTCGACTTCTTTCCTTTCTGGCTTTGGCTTCCTCTTATGATTGCAATCAACTTTCCTGTGAAAGCGTTGCTTCTTCTCATTTCAGGCTGGCAAGTATAATCTACAGTCAGTCGCCATTGTTCTTTCGGTTTTCTTTTGTTCACCTCTTTTTCTTCCCCCCTTTGCTGCGCGGCTATGAGATGGAGCCCCAACCCCGATCTGGCACCCATGTTAGCATGGGAACAACTTACCCAGGGAGCCCACTACCCCTTAATCAAGGAATATAGCTTAAATCATATTAAGGACCCCAGTACCATTTTGGCTATATTCCCTAAACCCTAAACCCTCAAATTTAGGGTGTATATATATATATGCATACATATGTATATATATATATATTCCCTAAACCCTAAACCCTTAAACTGCTTTCTTTCCGAAGTTTCTGTGGCCGGTCCAAGGAGCGGTGCCTGGGAGGCACACGCCGATGCCACAAAGGAAGTGCAGGATGGCGTAGTGTTTACCTGGACCCCAAAAGTATGTAAAATAATAGCCCTAAACCCATAATAACAGGGCTTAGGGTCTGGGGTCTAGGGTTTAGGGTTTTTTAAGAGCCTAAACCCCCCAAAGTATGTAAAATGATGGCCTTTAGGGCTATTTTTAGGGGTTTAGGGCTATTACTTTACATAGTTTTAGGGTTTAGGTAGGGCTTAGGGTTTAGGGGTTCGGGTTGAGGGTTTAGGATTGAGGGTTTAGGGTTTCGGGTTTAGGGTTTGGGGATTAGGGTCTAGGGTTTACAGGTTAGGGGGGGTATGGGGCTTAGCGTTCAGAATTCGGGGATTTCCCATGATAGAAGAGGTAAAGACAAAACACACAAGTCCTCAACTCGAAGCACTTGTAGAACGAAGTCCTAAACGCCGAGCCCTCACCTAAATCCAAGCCTGGGGCGGGCCTCTCCACGCACGGCTGAAGGAGGCTTTTCATCCCGTGGCCACGGGCCCCACGTTGGTTTCTAAGCTGCTCTACCTGGCATCCATTTCGCTTGTGTTAGGGTCTAGGGTTTAGGGTTTAGGGTCCCCATGTTCACATCTCTTTGTGCCGCATGCAGGATAGTTTCATGGAGCAGCGCAGGTGCTGAATGTGATTGCCTATGTTCCCTTGGTGCTCCTGCTCAACATGCTTGCAGGTTTCTCCGTGGAATATCAGCACTTCATAGCCCTCTATTCCCTTTGTCCCACACTTGTTATGGGCCTTGTGTACTACTACTACCTCTTCCGGGCCAACATGTGGCAGTTTACAGCTTCTGCTGTGCTGGGATGGCTGAACAACTGGACGATGGCCATGGCTACTCGCGGTTTAGAATAACGGCTCAAGGTTTAGTGTCCAGGGTGCAGGGTCTAGTGTCCAGGGTTTAGGGTTAAGGATCCAGGGTTTAGGGCTTAGGGCTACAACTAAACTTTGTGATCGAAGGGCGGTATGCATGCGAGTCAGGGTTTACCTGGACCCTGGATGTCTTGCCTTTTTTCGGGTTCTGTTCTACACTGTTGTTGGCAATTGATAAGGCATGCTTCAAGAAACGTAGAACATCCAGGGTGTGGGGACCCTCCTTGGGACTTAGCTTGGACCTTAGACCCTTAACCCTTTGGGATTCCTTTATATTCCTATTATAGGTGCGTAAGGGTTAACCCTTAGTACGGGTCTTAAGTGCCACGTAGGACCGCTTTGCCAATGAACATTGATATGGAAACAAATCGTTGCTTCAACCTGGAGAATTCTACCATGGCTCGCCAGTCTGTTTGGGTGCGGTTTAGGGCGTAGGGTTTAGATGGTCGATGGTCTAGAGTTCAGAGTTTAGATTGTTTTTGCCTTGGCAAGTTTGGGCAGGCTATCTCCCTGGTTTCCTTCACGCAAGTCGCCATGCATTATGTCCTGCTGCTGTGGGTGGAACGCCTGCTGCCAACGACATGGCAAGGAAGCTTTGCCACTTGAGTCCCTCAACCCGAACCCCTAAATCTTGATCCCAATAGGGTTCTGAACCCTAACCCCTTCACCGTCATCTTTATACCCGAATCCCTCAACCCTAATCCCTAAACCCCAAAGCCCAAACTCTAAATCCCTAAAGCCCTACAGCCCTAAACCCCTAAAGCCCCCAATCCCTAAACCCCTAAGCCCCAAAGCCCTACGGTTCCCAAATTCCTATAACTCCCCACCCAAGCATCCCTCAAGGTACCGACTCAAGGTTTAGTCGAGTTTATGAAGATTACTTGGGGCTGTCTTAAGGTTTTGGGTGTAAGGTTTATGCTTTAAGGTCTAGGATTTATGGGTTTAGGTTGAGGGCTTAGGGTTTGAGGTCTAGGGCTTAGGGGTTTAGGGGATTAGGGTTGAGGGTTTAAGGTTTGAGGTCTAGGTTTTAGGGGTTAGAGTTTACGGTCTTCGGGGTTTAGAGTTTAGGGGCTCAGTGTTTATGGGTACGGTGGGAGCCTATCTACGGATGGCTCCAACCCTCTTTAGGGATCCTTAGCGTGGCAGGATTGGCAAAACTCAATGCGTATAAATCCTTATAATCCAAGAGGGTCCATGTAGGCCTTACTACATCCTAAGCCTGCGGGAGCCAATTTGTTGAATCTGAAGTCCTAGAACCTCAAGACGCAACACCTACCGTGGAAGGTTGACAATAATTGTAGTACACTGTTCTAGGAGTTTAAGATGAAGTGGATACCTCGAACGCAAGCTAAACCCTAAACCCTAAACTCTAAACCCTAAACCCTAAAACCTAAACTCTAAACCCTAAACCCTAAAACCTAAACTCTAAACCCTAAACCCTAAACCGGGGTCGACGGGTCGTTCCACGTCCGGTCCAAAGCAGCGACAATCTGAAAGGCTTAATTAAGGGATGTCTTCCAGGACCTTCCTTGTACCCTTCATTGGGGTTTAGGGTTCAGGGTTTAGGATTTAGGGGTTTAGGGTTTAGGGTTTATAGGGTTTAGGATTTAGGGATCAAAATATACAAGCAATAGCTACATTGCGCCCCAAAGACGGTAAATATTACCTACATTGGACCATTTGGATCCCTAGGGATTTCGGTTACCAACAATCCTAATATTTAGCTGAAATTAAAGTTTCTACTGAGGTTCCAAATCCCTTAGAGTTTTGGTGTTTCTCAAGGTACGGGGCTTGTTTGTAGTACAGGTTTCAGGGTTTAGGGGTTTTTGGTTTAGGGTTTAGGTGTTTGGGTTTTTACTGTTTGAGGTTTAGCCATGAGAGGGTGTTGACAAGTGGAATTCGCAGCGAGGATACATGACCTTCCCCATGCAGACCATCGAAAGCTCGGTGCAGAATGTCGTGCTGTTACTGTACTGCTTCGGATTTGCGTTGGTAGTATCTTGCCCAGTGTGGCTGGGTACTCCTTGGAAGATTTTCAAATCATTGTGGGCCATATACCCTAAACCCTCAACCTTCTGTAACCATACATACATATACACATCTGAAGAGATAGCCTATAGGAATTTGAGTTTTATAGGGCCCCTAATTAAACCATCCAAGGTGGTGTGAGGGCTACCGGATTTGCATGGAGATCGTGAAGCGAGAGGGCGAGCTCAGCAAAACAGAAGCCGTCATCGAGATCCTGTGTCGCTGACTTTGCTAGCATCCATCTTACCCTAAACCCTATATGCTCCGAGATATCTCATCATATTTCCAGGGAATCGCGTATAGACTTGGATGCCAGGGTTTACCATTGGTAGCTCCAGTTTCCTGATGCTGTCAGTGTGCACGTCCTGTGAGACTTGCACAGGTACACCACTTCGCAGCTAGCTGTGGTCCTTCAGAAGCAGACAGCACTGGCTATGATTCAGATTCGATGGGGCTTCCCATTCCATTTCATCCATTTTGTGGCCGCGATCGTTGAAAACATGTTCCTACACCAGATGGTTCAGTTCAAGTACGCTTGGATCCACAAGCTGTGCCACGAGGTGCAGCCACTCTATCGACTTGCACACTTGGAGCACCACATCTGCAAAGGCACATACCCCATCACGCCAGCAGCAGGACTATGGGAGGTATGGATTGAGTATATGATAGTAGATTATAGTCGATTATCGTATAGTACTTTTTCCAGCCACTTTTAGTGGAATATAATCAATTTAAGTATATATAGTCAATGACAGTATGGTCAATTGTAGTGTCGTATATTATGGTCTATTATGGTAAATCATGGTAGATTATTGACTTTTGCAACACGCCGGCAGGACTATGGGAAGTATGGATTGAGGGCGGCACCCTTAATTTTTGCAACACGCTGGCGTGCATCCCATACATTTTTTTCCATGCTGCCGTCTCTGGCCCCAACGTGGTTGTCCACACCATGTGGCCTCACAAGTCTCTCGTACAGCATCCTAGCTGCAAAGCTCAGGGTTTTAGGGTTTAGGGTTTATGGTGCTCTCCTTTTGTGTTGTTTGCATTGCCCAAAGGCCAGTAGTGCCTACAGTACATACGTTGCGCTAGGGTTTAGTGTCCAAATATCCATACAAGCAGCCGTTGCAGCCCTCAACATGTACTATGTAAGTACTTGGATTCTTAGGGGTACGGTTAGGTGGCACACCCTTCACCATGTTACGCACAGCGACATCTATGCGGTGAACGTGCCGAGCAAGAACGACGAGACCTTCTCCCGCGATGTGAAGAAGTACAAGGAGCCACCATCTGGACCCCAAAAGTATGTAAAATAATGGCTCTTATGCCTTTTATTATGGGTTTAGGGCGATTATCTTACATACTTTTTGGGGTTCCGGCAACAGTCCCAACAGGGATCCCAATGATTCTCTGACAGCCCTCGTTGTCCTGAAGATTCACCCTAAACCCTAAAACGGGACCCGAGCTTCTTTAAACAAAGCACCCGTGTGCCGCCATGACCTCAGCACTAGCTAGATCTAAGAGTAAGAGTCCAGGTACCTCTCCCTAGGGTTCAGGGCTTAGGGTGCAAAGTCTAAACGAATTGGAGCCGCCGTCTGTTATACAGCCCCTTTTGGGCTTCCAGTTTTCAGGAAGGGTGGCCCCAAACTCCGAGGGCTAAGCTGATTTGACAGGTGAGCCTCAAACCCAAGCTCCATCCTCTCCGTCCTACCTACTTGGAGGCCCATAGGATTGAGTAACTACTTACTTAACTCTAATTACAACCTCCCTAAATGGGCTTATAGGGGATACCCCAAGTATAAGTACGGCTATAACCCCACTTATAAATACTTACTAAGTCCCATGGGCCCCAAGTATACTATCCAGAATAGTTTCCACAGGGTCTGCGTACCTGATCCTTTTTTTTGCAGTTGAATGAATCCATAGCCTTAAGCCCAACCAACAGGAGCCTTTGCAGTGTTCCTTGGTGATTGTTGATTAAGCTTGTCTCTTTCTCTAGATTCTAGATCCTTACTCAAACGGTCGCATATGATTTCCCATGTCACCCTTACGCACCTCCTATCCAGAAAAGCCTTTGCCCTGAACCCTAAGTCCTAAGCCCTAAACCCTGCACGTAATATAGGGGCCTAAATAGTTACCAATATTATGGTGCTGTATTCCTTACATAATTCTCGTCTATGGTACCTCGAACGGACCTCAAAATAGTATTGGTAATTATCTAGGCCCTTGTAGTATCTACTTCTACGTTGCAATGCGCCTCGAAGTCCATCAGTGAAGGGAGGGAAGAAATCTTTCACCACCAAGGCTCCTTGGGAATAGATGCGCGTTTTGGGGTTTAGGCTCAGCATACTGCAGCTGCTCAAAGATTGCCCCTGTACAAGGCTTACACCCTAAACTAAAACTCTAAATCCTTAACCCTACATCCTAAAGCCTAATTCCTAAACCCTAAGTATACGAGATTCTTCAAGCCTTGATCACTCAACAACATCAGTATGCGGGTCTCCGACATTGTGATTAAGGGAACAGCATATCGGGCTTAGGGTTTAGGATTCAGGCTGTAGGCTTTAGGGTTAAGGGTAATTATCGGGCTTAGGGTTTACGGTGAGACATAGAGAGATCTCCTTTCTGAGAAACCCTGAACATAGTGGCAACTAGAGAATAGCTGTATTTCATGCAGGCCCCATCATCCGAACTAGTTTGCCTGTGGCAGCAGTACCAACCCAATGGCCCAAAACCTTAGACACTACACCCCAGACCCAAAAGTTTAAGAACTCTACACCTGAGCCTCAAGCCCTAAACCCTAAACCCCTGAACTCTACACTCATGATTATACTAGCCCAGGTTCTTTCTTCATCCGCCACCCCGACCTCTCCGACGTGGCAGGCTTCCTTTAGCTCAACATAGGCCTTAGGGCGTCGAGCCATATGAGTATAGAGATGAGGGTTGGGGTTTAAGTAAGGCTTAAGGTTTAGGGGTTCTATACCGAAAAATCATTCCAAGCCCAGTGTAAGCTACATGGACCATCAGCTTTTTCTGGATCATGTGCCTGGAGGGTCAGGGGAACTAAAAATCCTGAAAGCTACACAGCCAACCCAGTTATAGCATTGTCAACCTACAGAGGTTCCCCCTAACTCGCCGACTCTAAAGTCTCAACTTTAAGTTAAGGGTAAAGGTTGAGGGCATTTTCCATGTTCATTTTCCTTGATTTTCGGTTATTGGGGTAATGTCCCCCTATTAGCCCCACCCTAAACCTTAAACCCCTATAAACCCCAGGCTTCATCATGGCCATCCTGGTGGGCGTGGCACTGCACTATGGGGTGGGCATCGGCCTCTTCCAGGTGGGGGCTTCGTGATGGTTTTGATTTGGGGCTTCAGGGTTTAGCGCGTAGGGTTGATTTGGGGCTTCAGGTTCTGGGCGTTTATGACAGTTCAGGCGTTATAGTGATTGGGTTTTAGGCCCTTAAACCCTAAGCCCTAAACTAGCGGCTGGAGATTGAGGAAGTAATGGTTTAGGGACTCAAGGTTCCTCCTCTGGGTGCAGGCTTGAGGTTTCATGTAGGGTGTAAGACAGAAAGTAACAGTGGCAATTACAGCTGTGAAAAGATTCCATGGTGTCGGTGGCTGTATCAAGGTAGCAGGTGTAATCTCATGGGTTCCCCTACTATCCCCATCTATACTTCCCCCCCTTGTAGGTTCCCGCCTTACTTAACCTTAACCAGGCCGAATTATCCCTAAGTAACATTAGTAAAGGGGGGAAGCTAGGAGGGCATTATGGAGGGGGTTGTAGGGGAACCCATGATAACCGCAAAAAGATTCTGCTCAGGAAAGTGAACGAGGATGCAAAGGGTCACAGTGTTTGTCGTAATTTCCGCGGATGTAGCAAAAAGTGCGAAGAACACATTGTATGAGCTGTAGTCCAAACTCCTTAAAGGGGGCTTGGTAGGAGATTATAGTGGAGTAGTATGAAGGTTGTTGGGGGGGATATAGTTTGTATGTGAGCACTGTTGACCATTAGTCTTGTTGTTTTCATGGGGTGTGTAGAGCGTTGTGACAGACTGGGGGCTGAGGATTTTCCTTCAAGCACATGGCAATCAAGTGTCATGATCTGAGGGTTTCTTCTAATTCAAGCCTGACCATCAATTCCTGAACCCTAAACTTTAAACTCAGGCCCTGAACCCTAAACCCTAAACCCCACAATGACAGCGACAGTCTGCTAAACGGTACTGGTGGGCACGGCAGAGCTTAAAGGGTGTTATTAGGGTTAACAAGGAGCCATTAAGAGTGGAAATGGGGCTCCTGCGGTAGTTTAGAATAGTCCCTATCATATCCCCTAATAAGAACCCACGCCCACTAAGGGAGGTATACTATGATCGCTTCGAATCTCAAGACAGGTGAATAGTTTAGAGGTGGACAGTTTCCATACTGCCCCCACACGGACTCCTACGACACCCTAAAGCCTAAACCTTGAGCCCAAAGCCTATGGGAGGCGACCAACTTGAACCCACCTGCATTGTGCTTCTAGAAAGAAAGCAAAATTAGATATGAGTCTTCAATAGCAAAATTAGATATAAGTCTCCAATACCCATGGAGCATGGCTATAATTGGGTTATAACTGCAATCTTAGCTGGGTGATATGCCCTGAACCTTAAACCGTCAAGCCGCAGGCCTAAACCCTAAAACCTAAAACCCAAATTTCCTAAACCCCCACTTCCCTATTCCCTAAGCCCTAAACCTTACACTAGGTGCCTACAGAGACCCTTTAGGATGGTTGGAAACCAAACCCTGAACCCTACATTTTTTGAGTCATTGAGCCTTGCTGGGTTGCTGTGAAGGAACCTAAATGAGCTATAGTCTAAACTCCTTAAAGGGCGATATATAAAGGATTATATAAGGGACTACCATGGGGGTTATTAAGGGGGATACTAGGAGTTTAGACTATAACTCAAATGAAGTTACCATAATTGAACAAACGTTTTCTTGCAATTTGTACCCATAGGACGGTTTCTTAAGGCGTAAACCTTCTGTACCCCTATTATGGTAGCTTAGGTTCCACGCCCCAAAATTCCAAAAATTCCAAATTCGAAACCTTGAAGCTCGACAGGTCTGGCACGAGCGTATCATCCACGGGCTTGCAGACTTGCCCTCGGTTTAGGATTTAGGGCTCAGCGTTGGAGTTTAGGGCTTAGGGAGTAGGGAATCAGGGTTTAGTTTAGGGTGTAGGGAATTAGGCTCAAGGGTAGGAATTAGGCTTGAATGCAAGTTTTGGAAGCCGTAGGGCTTTTTTGTTGGAATGCATGCAGAGCGGCAATGTACAGTCTGACGGCACAGAAACGTTGTCACTTTTCAGCTGCTCTGCGGCAGTACCACAGGCCAACGCTGCCAGTCTGGCCGTAATAATCACCAGGACCCTTAAAATCACCAACGATCTCCATTGCATCCTTTTCAAACCGAAGCTTTGAACCTACCCCAAATATGATGGACTGTCCACCGTCGAAAAGGGAAACTTAGGCCCTAGAGCCTGTAAGGGCTGCAGCGGGTATACTATGGGAAGATCCGGGATGTCATGGTGATCTTTTTATGCCCATGTTGCCTGTGTTTTGTCCCTGAATGAACACCTGGACCCTCCAATGTAGTTCCTTTTTGGGTTTGGTATGGTTTTTTGGGTAGGAATCTTGCCGCTACGACTACAAAAAAGGTACTACGTTGGAAGGTCTGGGCAAGCACCTGTCATCGGTCATAACAGAAGATTGTAGCTATTAAGTGTCGGTCCGTTGGTCCGTGGGTCGTTAAGGTTGCATAGGGTTTAGCGTTCACGGTTTTCACTATTCATGAGTCATAGTCATGCCTTTTATTTGAGGTGCGTGTACCCCTCCACCTAGCTACTCAGTTACTCATGCTAGGTCACGTCCTGAGCCGAGGGGCTTTGGGACTTTATAGTTTACTGTCCGATAATTACCAAATGTGTTGCAAGGACCTGTCTTCAATCCTGAACCCATCCTTAGAATCGCCCCTCCATTCCAATTCCATCTTCCCCGCAAACGTCGCTGGGTAGTTTTGGGGCTGGCAGTGGCCCATTCCCGAACTTTCGGGTACTTCAGGGAGTGTCTTCCAGCGGAGTTTACTCCCAAATTCTTTAAGATTCCTCAATACCCACTAGTATATGACCAAGCTCCCGTCAGGGGTGCAACGCATGAGGGCAATCTTCATGTCAACCCCTCTCAGGCTGGTCATCTAGCAGGGTAGAGGAGGACATTGCAGTTGAGTAGTGGCCTTAATAGCGTCGTGTACAGGATCTGGGCTAGGTAAGGCGATATGTGCGCAACAACGTAGAAACTGTATCTGCGAGTTTCCATAAATCTGCGCCCCTAATTTGATCTGACTAGCTATGAGCCTGATGAAAATGACACCAATCAGGGACTTGAGGCTCACCCAAAGGGTCCATGCAGGTATATAGTATATACTTAGGGCCCAAAGGGGTGCTCCAAGGCCCAAGTAACAGCAATGCAGCTACATGGACCTTACGGCACAAACAGGTTTACAGGAGGATTTACTAGAAACCATCATTCAGATCAAGATTGCGCTGTTACTTCCGCATGTCAAGAAAGAGATTTGTTTAGGCTAGGCTGCTACGGAGGTTTGGGGTTTGACTCCGTAGGCATGTTGCCGTCTCCTCCTCACAATTTGCGATGAAACCCCTGCAAATAAAGCCACGACAGAGCTGCACAGTCCAGAGCGCGAAGTGCTGAGAACATCTTTGCGCGGTGTCGCGGCTACTTTGGTGGACCCTGACGTCCGGTTGTATACGAGTTCAGGGTCGCATTAAGTTCCTTAAACCCCCATATTCCCCCAGTTTCCATTTCATTTTCCATTTTCTTTTCCATTTTATTCTCCAGTATAGGGGGATAATATACCCTAAACCCTAAACCCTATGCCACTTCAGGGTTCAGGATCATTATTA